GTTAGCCTCACCTTGTACTGACCACCAAGTACTGACTGTTAGCCTCACCTTACAATTACAGAGGACTAGCCTCACCTTGTAAGTACCGACTGTTATCCTCACCTTGTAAGTACTGACTGTTAGCTTCACCTAACAATTACAGAGGACTAGCCTCACCTTATAAGTACTGACTGTTATCCTCACCTCATAAGTCTTGAGCTGCAGAGCGAAGGCCTGGTTGGGCTTGACACAGGACCGCTTGCTCCTGACGAGCTCGGTGGCCCTGACCAGGTTGAGGTTGTAGGCCTTCATGGCGTACGCGATGACCACCGACGCTGAGCGACTGATGCCCATCTTGCAGTGCACCAGCACCTTGCTGCCACGCTCTCTGTGTCATCATGCAGGGCATATTAAGGGCACTCATGGGGCCTAGTAAGGGGCATATTAGAGGCACTCATGGGGCATAATGAAGGGCATATTAGAGGCACTCATGGGGCACATTTGAGGCACTCATGGGGCATAATGACGGGCATATTAGAGGCACTCATGGGGCATAATGAGGACACTAATAGAGTATATCAAGGGAAATAAAGGCGAATATAAAGAAGATTATAACAGACGTTCTGTCACGCTCCCTGTACCTTATGCAAAGCATTAAGGGCAAGCAAATAAAGCATATAAATGGCACAGAGACGAACATGATCACTACAGACGTTAAGCAGAATAGCAGGAATGAATGAAGTGACGGTGCCGTAGCGAGAATAATATTGCCTATAATCTTTTCAAAGACACAAAATTAAAAATTAGCAATAATAGAGAAATGTGCTGCGGATGGGATATAAGGTATTAATTGTATTCTATATATTCAAATGGATTCTATACTTATAAATTATATTCTGTGCGAAATAGGAGTATAGGAGTTCTACACGCGAGTATAACAATACGAAAGAGTGTAATGACATGAGAAGGGAAGGGATCCTTACATCTCTTCCCTCAAAGCAAACGACTTTGGAACACCGTAAATTACGAGATTATTTAGTAGAAAACGCGTTTAATCAACGTTATTTCAACGGCAGAGGCTTATTGGGTTCCCTGTATTGCTTCATTCTAACCTAAGCAAACATAATAACATAACGTATAGAGAAGAAGTTCCTCTCACTTTTCTTCTTCATATCGCGGCATCCTAACTTAAGCAAACTTAATAATTCATCAAGGAATAGAAGAAATTCCTCTCACTTCTGTTCTTAATATCGCTGTATCTTACTTCTGTAAGATAGCTTATATCGCTGTATCTCTCACTTCTGTTCTTAATATCGCTATATCTTAACACAATCAAACTTAATAATTGATCATCACTTAACAATTGACTCACTTGATGGCGTTGATGTAGCGATATGTCTCCTCCCAGTGACAGAGCAAGTCTGTCTTCTCGTTATCGTAGACGCGGATGTTCTTGTAGTTGAACATCCCAGGGAAGAAGTTGTCGATCTCCATCGTGACGTTGAGGATGTGGCCGATCCTGGAGAAACATGAGGAAATGTTCAAGGCGGCTTGATAAGTACAAAAATTTAGGACTTAAAAACTATCATCATCTCAACATCTAGGCCTTAAAAACCATCAAAAGAATAGAGATGTTGAGAGTCTTGGGAGATGATACCAAAGAGTGTAGTGATGATAAGGCTTTGGAAAATGGTCAAGAGAAATAGTGACGTAGTAGACCTTTATTCATGTATTTATGTATATATACACATGATATTTACAGATGTTCATGAGACATAACCCTTATAATTGTGCTCCTCAACATTACCACAAGACGATCGTATTACAGTACTGATACAATGAATATAAATGATATTATGTGAACATATATGTTGTTATAAGCGAGGAGAGGGTTACAGAGGATGACAGAGGGTTAGTTAAGACGTGGAGGGTTGAGCTGTGACGTTCATTGTATGCAAATTTCTGATTAGTGAGAGGTTGGAACTCGAGGTTGATGTTATTATTGTTATTCTAATTATTGGTATTATTTTATTTTTATTAGTGTTATTAATAAGGTTGAAATTATTATGATATCAAGATTATCAATTATTAATTCCTCTTCTAATGGCTGATAGGAAGAATTTATATCTAAATCAGTCAAAGGTTAATGCAAGAGTCAGGTGCTTCAGTCAGTTCGTACGGTATTAGTTCCGTACGCTAGCAGCACAACTCACCCGTTGGTCTTGAGTTCGTCGAGATTGGATGCGTTCCACTCAGACCCCAAGAAGACGTGAGGGAAGATCTCAGTGGCAGCGTCCATCTGTCCCAGGATCGTGAGCATCTCCTGGTCTATGTAAGATTTGTACTTGAACAGATCCATCGCAAGATCTTTCTCCAACTTCTGGCGGATAACTTTAGACGTCACTTCGTCGATGTCTACACTCATCATTATTTCCTTGAGCTTACTTCTTATCAGCTGCTGGGTCTCCTCTCTGGGGAAATACAACATTTTCCGAATATTTTTGCCATCTTACGGTTATTCAGCAGGGCCTATACTTTCAAAAAAAGTTAAGAGATCGTAAGTTCATGAACCAATCATTGACGGTTTTTCATGCAGAATCCACCAATCATAGACAAGAAAATAGAGCGTAAGTACTTACGTTCACTTAGCGAGTTTTAAAAGTATGGTCCCTGGTAAACAACTCCATGCAGACAGTTTACCAATATTTTTGCCATCTTACGATAATTCAACAGGTAAACAACTCGATGCATACAGTTTTAAATGTTCCATAAATAAATATAAACACTTAAGTACAAATTAATTATCATCGCAGACTACAAACAAGACCAACAAATAAAATGATATAATATATTTATATTTTTAAATGTCTCACTTGCAAGTAAGGGTCTCAGGTGATGGCGGTCGCTTGCTGAGCAGCGACGCCATGGCGTTCCATTCATTAAGACGGCTTTGGTCTGTAGTAAGGCTGCGCTTGTAGTAAGCCAGCCAGTCATGGCTTAAGCCACCCTCGTAGTGACACTGCGACCTGGCGTGGCCGCAGTGCCGGTGCAGTACTTGTAGTGCTGACCTGTGGGTGTAGTAGTTATGAGTGCACGTACAGTGCAAATGCAGTGTAAGCGAGTGCAGTGGCAGCATAATCACACTGCAGTGTAGGGAGAGAGCATATAAGCAGTGTCATGGCACTGCAGTGTAGGGAGAGAGCATATAAGCAGTGTCATGGCACTGCAGTGTAGGGAGAGAGCATATAAGCAGTGTCATGGCACTGCAGTGTAGAAGAAAGCATGAGCAGTGTCATGGCACTGCAGTGTAGGAGAGAGCATGAGCAGTGTCATGGCACTGCAGTGTAGGGAGAGAGCATATAAGCAGTGTCATGGCACTGCAGTGTAGGAGAGAGAGCATGAGCAGTGTCATGGCACTGCAGTGTAGGAGAGAGAGCATGAGCAGTGTCATGGCACTGCAGTGTAGGAGAGAGACGAGACGAGACGACACAATAGTGTACGCCAAGTTAGCAATAAAAACAGGGACAATTTCCAGCACTCCGTGGGAATTCCGGGACAATACTGAGACGAGACGTCCCGGTTAAAATAGGAATGCTAAAATTTCCCGGAATTTTACTATTTTTTAACGAGATATACTAGTTAATTCTTAAAATGTAATCTAAATAATAAATTGTTTCAAAAATTCTGATCTGATCAATATTTTAGCGCATTTTCTCATTTATGGAAAAAATGCACTATTGTGCTCGCCATGTCCGTCCGTCCGTCTGTCTGTTTGTCCGTCCGTCCGTCTGTCTGTTTGTCCGTCTGTCTGTTTGTCCGTCCGTGACTTCACGTTTTCGGCGACGAAAAAATGCGCTCTCTGTCACTCACTGCAGTGATTACTGAGTTATATTTTTTCTGTTTGCAGCGTTTCAGGCATTTTACTATGTAAATGACATCGCTTTTGTCCACCTAGCAAATTTGTCAGGCCTGAGTGAAATTTAAAACATAACTAAGTATTAGAAATGCGCAGCGGGAGGAATCATTAAAATTTTTTACATCATTTCGTTTCAGATTATAACGAAAAAAAAAAAATTTTTCACAATTGGACAGCTCACAAGTTTCTAAATTCTGAACGGATCGGCACAAATTTCAAACAAATCTAATCACTAGTTAGACTGCGCGGTAGGAAGCGTAGTAGATTTTATGTGTCGATTCGTTTTTTATTTATACTTCGGTCATAAAGTACCAAGGCTAGTAGGTGTTCGTTATGAGTCTACATCCAGCAAACAAGTTTTACGAAACAAATGTCTGCCAAGGAAACAATTATAATTACTTCTTTTTACCAATCTTTAGTTTAACACGTTGACTACGAAGTGGTACATATGCGTACCACGAAATGTACTATTTCTCCAGAACGTAGTAGTACATAATTCAGGTTGCCTAAAATTGGCCAATTCCGATAACAAAAAAGGCCGATAACTCAAAATATACTAGTTTATTTGTAGGTTCCACTATAAAAATTCCATTCATTTTCTTTTTGCAGTATTTAAAGTTTAATTAGGAAGTACTCCTATCATAAATTTTAGCCGGCCAACGCAATTGAGAAAAACTAAATCACGGAATTTGTCCGGAAAAATGACCGTCTGGCAACCCTGTTTAAAAACAGTACAAAAAATGAAATAATAGCACAAGATGAAGCAATCGTAGTCAGCGTGTTAAAATTGAATGGCCGAGAGTTCAAACGAAAAAGTTCAGAGAGCTAAAGGGGGTACGTTCTCTACTTGGTGGGGACTAATTACTCTCATCTGGGGTAGGCTACAGCTGATGATGGCATGAGAGACTTTCTTCAATGCTTCGCTAGAGTGTAAACTTAGGCTTAGGTTAACCGAAATCATAACTTACAACGTATTCATTTACTGTTCTCACGTGGATCTCGGGTATTGAAATTCAATGGAGTCGCATCTTCATTGCAGATGTTCTCAAGTTTGTCTAATGCTACATCAGAGTCTTTATTTAGGCCGGAAGTATATTTCTCCAGCCGTACAGCTAACCAACGTCGGCACGAAAGAGATGTCTAAACATGCCCGATGTGTTGCCATCATTCAATTTTTAAATATCGCCACAAAGTTTGCCACGACTATTTGCTTGGTTTATACCCCGGTCATCATAGGTCTCGCCTATTCTTTGCTTATCAAAATATTATTAGACACCCTGCTGACTCGTGGCGTCTTGCAGGGCCTGAGAAAGCCCTCCCACACTCTACCAAGCGGGCGGACCAATCGACACTGCGATGAAGAAGTTACACGCACTGATCTTGTATGGTTCTGATCAGACGCGATTGAACGCTCAACCGCAACATCATTCACTAAACATTCAGCCATACATCGCGATGTCTGCCCACTACAGCCAAATTAGTTTAGCAGCCAACTGTCGCCAAATCTGTCCATAAATGGCAACTGTCCATCAACACTCAAGAGTTAACTTGATATTCCTTGACCAAGCGTTCGGAATGTTTCGTTTTCTTTCCGTATGGTAAGAAATATCTTGTTTCGTCTTGGACATATTCCAGACATGTCACGTTTCTTTTTATTTCTATGTCTCGTATCGCTCCATAATTACCGGGACGACATAAGTTTTAACGTCCGGGACAGATATTTGTTCTGGGACAATTATTCCCCCGTCTCAATATTTTTTCCCGGAAATTTCTTGTCTGGTCTCGTTGTCCCGGTTCATTTCGAGAAAATTATTCCGAGACGCAGGTGTCTAAGCAGCAGCAGTGTAGGGGAGAGCAGCAGCAGCAGCAGCAGTGTAGGGGAGAGCAGCAGTAGCAGCAGCAGTGCAGCAGCAGCAGTGTAGCAGCAGCAGTGTAGGGGAGAGCAGCAGCAGCAGCAGTGCAACAGCAGCAGTGTAGCAGCAGCAGCAGCAGCAGCAGCAGCAGCAGCAAGTGTAGGGGAGAGCAGCAGCAGCAGCAGTGCAACAGCAGCACTGTAGCAGCAGCAGCAGCAGCAGCAGCAGCAGCAGTGTAGGGGAGAGCAGCAGTAGCAGCAGCAGTGCAGCAGCAGCAGTGTAGCAGCAGCAGCAGCAGCAGTGTAGGGGAGAGCAGCAGCAGCAGCAGTGCAACAGCAGCAGTGTAGCAGCAGCAGCAGTGTAGCAGCAGCAGTGTAGCAGTATCCTAACACTGCAGTAGCAACAAGTACAGGAGTTGCAGGACAGCAATACAAGGAGTCATACCCCGCGGCGACGCATGGCATCTCTTTCATTTCCAACACATTCTAACTTTCGGCATTTTTCTTAGTTCTGAAGGCTCATTTTACCACGTTTTTTTAGCTCGCTTTCGTGTCCGTCTGTCTGTCTGTCTGTTATCTTGCAATCGATATTTATACTCATTTTGCTGAAAGAAATTTTAGTCGTTCGACTACGGATATCATTTTTTGTTTCAAAAGATTACTGTTTTTCATTTGGTTGTAAAAAGAACCTTAGAAAAACAAGGTTTTAAGAAAAAGAATAACTACAATAAAGTTGACTTCACAAATAGAAACCATTGAACTATCTCGAAAACGAGTTACACTAACTTATAAGAATGCTGAATTCTAACAATTTGAGGGAAAATGTGAGTTGAATTTACTCATAAATATACACATACCCAGTACAGGTTTATTATCGAATTATTTTATGTCTATTGCAGATAACCGTTCTGAGGCTAACCGAGCTCTTATAAAATGCCACACAAAATAAGTCAGTCTTGATAACAGCTCTGTTATCGTACATCATGTTAAGCAGGTCTTATCTAAACACTGGCAAGTGTATAAGAGCATCTGCATTGCGATCATTTCAGCTGCAGCGCTATAAGTAGCAGCTGTCAGGCCAGCAGGTGTAAAATGCAGATGCAAGCAGCTGATGCAGCTGCTGCAGCCCTACAAGTACCAGCTGCTAGGCCAGCAGATGTAAAATGCAGAGGCAGGCAGCTGATGCAGCTGCTGCAGCCCTACAAGTAGCAGCTGCTGACCAGCAGGTGTAAAATGCAGAGGCAGGCAGCTGATGCAGCTGCTGCAGCCCTACAAGTAGCAGCTGCTAGCCAGCAGGTGTAAAATGCAGAGGCAGGCAGCTGATGCAGCTGCTGCAGCCCTACAAGTAGCAGCTGCTAAACCAGCAGGTGTAAAATGCAGAGGCAAGCAGCTGCTGCAGCTGCTGCAGCCCTACAAGTAGCAGCTGCTAGGCGGCCAGCAGGTGTAAAATGCAGAGGCAAGCAGCTGCAGCAGCTGCAGCAGCTGCTGCAGCTGCTGCAGCCCTGGCAAGGTCATCCATGAAGGGCACGCCACTTCATCTGTCCATCCCAAGCCAGCACAACTCGTACAAAACCACTACACTCCAGTACCGAACTAACGTAGAAACAATCGCGAACAAGCGAAGAACATTAAAATAATCGTAGAACATTCGTACTACTATCGTAGAACATTGAAGCAATCGTAGAACATTCGCACAAAAATCGTACACAGTTTGTGCTACTATCGTAGAACGTCCGTACAACTATCAACGAACATTACTAGAGACTTTCTATATATCAATGCCTCTTCCCAGAACTGTTAAATATTTTTATTTTTGAACGATGACACATTTATAAAGATATAAAGAAAAATTATTTTGTATTCTATTCGTTTTTTTTGTGCAGCAAAGATTACGTACAATTCGCATGCGACATTATCGCATTGTCCTTGCAGGTGCTGCTGCTAGGTGCACAGCAAATGTGAAGATTTATACGTAATGTTAAAGAGACATGTAACTTACGGTATAAGAGTAGACGACTCGTCATGGAATGAGACAATAAGCCAGCACGGCAGCGGCCAGCTCGCTGATCATATCCCAGGGCAATGCAATCAATGCCATTCAATCCAAGCCAGGGTCTGAGATACGCGACTCTGCCACCTTACACTGAGAGAAATGAGTGGGTCACTATAGAGACACACTCAGAGATACGAGTGTGTCTCTGCATGCATGGCAGAGAGTCAGCATACAGATCTCTGTACCACCTCTTCTTTACCATGAAGCCCCGGGGTTATGAGATAGACAATAGTACATTGCCTTAATA